TTTTTTTGACTTGAACAGACAACAACGTTTGGGAAGATGACGAATAGTAGAAATGTAATGACATGCCTGAATATGCAGAACATTTGATCTATTTCCGAATCGCCCTGGAACAGAATCTTTTTGGATGCCAGTTCAGCGAAAACACATCCTACGCTCCACATATCTACTCCTAACCCATAGCGAGTTGCACCAAGCAAGACTTCTGGAGCCCGATACCACAGCGTAACAATCTGTAATCGTTCATTCACAAGTTTCGGTAATTTTCTTTACTCACTCTGACGGTAATTCTCACATCTTCGACACTTTGGCATTCAAGGTCAACCTGGTTGCTACAGTTGGCTTATCAAGTGGCTCACCATCAAATTAGCGTGCACTGTCATCATGGAACCCTTAAGTTGTCAGAACACAGGCACAGCTGATTCATCAGGCGAAGGTCGCCGTTTAAGCTGTATCTTTTCAGCCAACTTCTTCCTAATATCACGGCTTCCACCAGTACGTTGAGAGAGAGCGCTTGTCATCGTTTCCCACAAACTGCGTTTTCAACAGTTTACGTTTCTTGGCAACTCCATTCCTTGCTCTCATCTAACAACGACGAAAACATCTCTCTTTTTGGAACACTGTTTAAACAAAAAAAATAGCTAGCACCAGCAGCTTCAAATGAAACAAATTGCTCTGCAAGCCACTGTATTGTAGTTATCCCGAAAACCGGCACTGTGCTGAATGCTTTGAATAGGAGCCGAAATTTTCAGTAGCTAAGTGCCTACATCCGTTGCAAACTTGGCATAGCGAAATCCAGAAAAAAAAAAAAAACAAAAAGAAAATGAAAAACTTGCCTCGTGCGTATAAGCCCTCATTGGGACATTGACTGCTCGTGCAAGGCCAAAATCAGCAAGCTTAATGGCACCTGCCTGATCAATTAAAAGATTATGTGGTTTCAAATCGCGATGCATAACACGCCTCTGATGACAGAAACATATTGCTTGCAAAATCTGGTATAAGTACAGTTTTTGCTGCAAAATAATTATGGATCAGAAAGAGTCTCGCGTTCTGAAGTCATTTTCTACTCACAATAATAATAATAATAATAATAATAATAATAATAATAATAATAATA